AAAAGATTCCTTTGGATATTTGATTCCTTGTAAAAGATAAAGACCAAGTATGCACTGTTAAATATTGTTCAATGAGTTACCAAATGGAGGAAATAAAAGTGAAGTTGTCCTTAATATGAAAGAGCTTCATTTTCATATTTTAAAGCTATTTTAGCTGACTCCCTAATTGCTAATTCATTCAGTTACTTCTGCTAGAAGATGCACGTCCAGTCCATGTTAGGCAAAGCTCACTCAAAGCACATACTGTCCATAATGATGTCCCTGTCTTTCTGTGCAAAACAGACTCCTCTGATCCACGGTGGCCAGCCCTACTCTCCAGGTGTGTCATTGCCAGAGGGCTGGAAGAGTGGGCATCTCCGATCCCAGCTGGCGACCAGGTGAGAAGACAGTGGGGGAAATAAAGCTTATCCTGCATCCAAAGTGCACTAAGTCTCCAGGACAAATCCTGAAAGGTTCCTGAAGACAACAGGCAGGTGTGTTACATCCAAAGATGCACAGGACAGGAGGTTCAGCTCAGTTTGACAGTGACCTTGAGAAGCCGAAAAGACATGCCTCTGTCACTGACAGCAGCACCAGCAGTGCCCCCAGAACCACCACGAACACCAGCTTTGATTCATCACAAGTCATGGAGTGTGAGATCTGCAGGGCCACCGGGCAGCAGCCCAGCCTCCTGCCACTCTGACAAGTTCCGCATTTCAAATGCTCTCCTCTGCCTGCTTGAAAGATAGCACCTGGGAAATTTAAAGTGGGCAACTTTGGACTACATCTCAGGTTAGAGTTGAGCAATGCTGAATGCCACCCTATCAGGACATAGACCTTGGAGCTGCGGCCCAGGTGGCTCTGGGACAGCAGTGGGCAGACACCCTGAGAGCCTAAGGGACTTGCAGAGCGCAGGTTTTGAGGTTCAGTTTGAATTTCCAAATTAACACGAGCAGGAGGCTAATGCTGCGGTCCTTGGTTTTTAGCAGACGGCAGATGACTTCCCACTGGAATGTTCTTGTTTTCCTTCAAATTTCATGTGTTAGATGATTAAGGAGATGCCCATTCATGTATACAAGGTTATGACTGACTCCTGCCTGAGTGAACATTTGATTCAACAGAAGTTTGTCTAAATGTTAAACAATATATAAAATATAACTCCTATTTGCTTAACAATACAAATAAGTTCTCGAAACTTGTGAAATAGTGAAAAAAGAGGTATTCATATAGGGATATACAGGTAACATCAGTTTGTTGAAACTATATAAGAGAGTTTCAGAGAGTTCATGGAAAAATGAATTTAAAAGATAAGTTCATTTTGGCCAACAACTTTTGCAATTCGTGTGTAGTTGTTCAAATATGCATTTCCATGAACTTTTGTTTATCATTTTATTGCATAGATAATTCTTTTCTACAATTTAATTTTTAAAATACGGCTCTTTTTTTTTTTTTTTGAAGGGTTTCAGAATAGAAACCTTTCTCCCAGCTGTGATTTGTAGATCTGCTTCTGAATGAAAACAAATAGACCAGACCACAGGCGTGTTGGTTGAGAAAGTGTCTTCGTGGCATCGGAGGCCTGTGGTTTCCTTGTTGAGTCTGCTCTCTGCAATGCAAAACCTCCCACAATGCCCTCTTGGCTTCCCTGGGGGGTGTTCCGGGATTCCTTGGATTTGTGAATAACTTTAAACCGGCGGCCTGGAGCCTCATCATCGAATCAGTGATGATTACTAGACACTGGCGGGTCTTTTCCAGGGAAAAAAGCTGCTGCTTTAAAACAATGCTGCACTTGGAAAGGAACTCTCCCAGGCACAGTGGATTAATCTTGCCACTTCTCGGTGAGATAAATGAAAGAAGGAACAGTGCCAGCAAACACTATTCTTTCAGTATCCTCAAAAGCCAAACATTTGAGAGCACGAAAGCCAAGATTTATAAGCAGCAGGAAGTATGTTGGGGCCTTCAAAAATAAAATAAATTCTCCTGCTTATTTTGGCCATGTATATTCCTTTCAGATTTGAGCCCAGGTTGTCATAGGTAAGAAATATTTCTTTGTGGCTGAGTCTCAGGATTCGTTCACCACCCATTTCTCATAGATTGCCTGATGGCCTGGAATGGGCTAAGAGAATGGAAATTAATAGATAAATTAGCTCCAAGAAAACTTAACCGAGAAGGAAAACAACCCCATAATAATAGCATTTCATCTTTTCAAACTTGGAAAGAACTACATTTAGAATTTAGTTAATGCTGTCTTTAGCTAACGTTGTCTTTGTTGTGATGGCATATATAAGGTGTAGATATTGGAACTCATTTCAGATGGGACAGGAGCTCGAAGTCTGTTTCTGAAAACTGAATGAGATCAGAAAGGAAAGATGATTTCAGGATGCATCTAGGTAACTGCATTGTGCTTTCTCCATCAGAGGCAGAGCCCTGAGTCAGAACCCAAGCCCGCTGAGGCTCTGCTGACAACGCAGGCTCCCCTAGTCCCATGGCAGAGCACATGCGTCTTTAGTGACAGCGTTCTCTTCATAAGAAGCTGTGTGGTCCATCTGTGGCTGACAGCTATAAAGGGTAGAGAAGGAGGCTTCCACCAAGGGGGTGAATCTCAAATGCATGGTCCAATTTAAGTTTCTGACATGGGGGAGCTAGGCAGGAAGTAAGCTCCTGAAGAATGAGTTGGAAGATTTTCCCACAGTTTCTGTGTAGCCTTGCACTGTAGCTCCACCTCCTTACATGACAACCCAGCACACCCAGCTTCCCAGAAAACACTTGCATGTCATTCAGGACTGGGAAGGAGGAGACACCGTGATGACCACCTGGAAGTGAACCTCTGCATGGAGTTGCCATGAAACCCTCAGAAAATCTCACCCACACTAAACCCTGCCCAAACTCCACCCTGTTTGTATATTCAATCAGGGCACGACCCCCTGCCTCAGTAAAGGGACTGCTGGATGTGAGAGAGATCCCTTTTGGTTCCTTATTTTGCCTTCCCCCACACTCTGGCCTTGTGGGTACCTCTCTGGCCCTCTCATGGTGAGTTTTCTCCTCATGGAGTTACCTGCACTCATACTCTGTCACTTTAAATAAATCCTGCTCTTATTTTCATACATTATTTATTCATCTGCTTTAAATTCTTATCTCACACAAGGGCAAGGACTTGGAATAAGAACCAGGGAACACAGTCCTATAATTCTAAGGGGATCCTGACCTGGAAATTGCTCTAGTATCTCTCAAATTTGGAAAAAAAAATGGAGAGAGCACATAGCAATTTACTGAGCTTCCAGAATGAGCAGGTACTAGGTGTTGGGGGATTTTCCTTTGATATTGTCATTTAGTACCCACTACAGTGTGATCTAGTATTGTTATTCATTTTGTAGAAGAAAGAGAACAAACAATTGTCTCAACATCACACAGCCACTACCTGTTAGCTTCCAGGTCTCACTTCAAAGTCTGTCCATTTTTAATATTTACACTTTACTCTCCATCTATGATATGAAATAACTGAGAGACTGTCTTGTTTTTATAAATAGTGACAAAAAGTCCTAAGCCTGCAGAACTTCAGAACCTGCAGTTAATGAGGTTACTTCCACCAAACTCAAGCCAATCAAGTAGTGATTATTGAAGTAAGATCATTTGAAAAACTATAAGTACTATAAAATAAAAGTCAAGCATCAAAGCAGATATTTAAATTTTAAATTCACTTCTTCAAATGATAAAGTCAATAACAAGAAAAAGCACTTTCATACTTATATCCATTTTCTATTCACTCACAAATTCTGTGGTTGGTAGATTCCAATGCAGAATGCTGCTAGTAGCTATACTCTGTTACAATTTTTTTTCAACCAGTTCCTTTGTAATGTTTGCCTGAAAACATTACAATGGCAGAATATTGATATGCAATGTGAGTGCCTAGCTTTTACCCATAAGGATGTTAGGAAATAAGATCATTTCTAGTTTATATAGTTTTATTGAATTGTATCCTCCTCTTATTGCTTTTTAAATCAGCACAGAAGGCAATTTTCTGATTATTTGTGAGGCACATAAGTCATTTGTCATAATTGGATGCCTTAGTGGTTAACATTCACAAGTAATTTCAATCAACTTTGGTTTTACAAATTCAATGTCTTACCACAGCTTATAACTGAAACCATTTGGTAGTTAAAATATCCCATGTCAAATCTCCAAGTCTTTCTTTTCAACTTTTTTCTTTGTACATGGCATTGCTCCATTACTAAATCAGCAGCTTGTTCATTTGATGTCACCTAGACTCTCTTAATTGAGTACAGCCACCAGAACACATCTCTGTTCCTCCAGAGCAGGGGAGGGACAGTGTGAGCCACCATGACACGTGCCCTACACCCGGAGCCAACCCCAGTGCGCTCCTCCCAAAGGATATTTCTGAAAACTTTCCACTCATTAAGCGTCACACATGTCCCTCGCCATCCATACCTCTTTCCAATTTCCATTCTTTTCCCAATCAATATCTTCCCTTTGCAGTGCTTTCAAGTCCCCTGATCAAAGCATGTGGGGTTAACATCATTAGACTGAGAGGCAAGGGGCACAGACTGGAAAGCTTCTTTTCAAGGGGAATTCAACTTTTTCTCCTTTAACTACCAGGTTTTATTTCTTCTCTAAATATTTCACATTTACAAAGTTCTCCATCCACCTGGACCATGATATGTGGATGGCTTTACAAGGTTGGCCATCTGAGATAATAGTAAATGATAGTTTGAGGTAGTCCCAGCCCTTACCTGATGGGTACCTTGTGGAGTGTGGTACTCAGAACTTCTGAGCCTGTCTCCCCATCACTAAGGTGTAGTGAGAACGTCTGCCCATCTTGAGGTGTGACGGGAGTGACTGCCCATTGGCACCACCCAAGGTTGCTGTGTAGAATGACTAACACTGTGTCAACAGCACCATAAGTCATACAGTGTCCTGCATATTTGGCAGTTACTATTACAGTTCTATACCCTATTACCGGGGCAGGTCCTCAGAAATCAAAGGAAGACAAATGCAGTGCGATTTACCAATTCTTCATTCTCGAACTCTGGATTATATTGTGCCGCATCTTCCGTCACTGGTTTCTGAACGATATTTCTGCAGATGAGCCAGATGGCCAGACTCGCAATGAACATGCCGATGTCAGGTACAAACACTCTGATTCCATTGCCGGCATCGGCTCCTTTTAAGCTAAGGAGGAAAAGGGGAAAGAGGAAAGTTAGTTGTTATTGTGTTTGTATGGTCCAACCACTTCAGAGTGTTTCACTTTTGTTAATGATTTAAAATAAAAGGCCCTCAATTTCTGCCTAGAAGGTACCAGAAAACATTTCATCAACTGCAGAGTCTTATGAAATTACTTAAGAATCAAGTGTTTCCTCCACATGTTAGAAATATTATAAAGAACTAAACCAATTCTCAAAAACATGCTAAGGAATTATGTTGTTAAATAAGCATGGCCAGTATGAATGCAGTCATTTACAATCTAGCTGAAGTAGTTAAACACTATAAATCTACTAGCAGCTAGAAAATATTTTATGTTGGGTGGATAAAAGTCAAAGCTAGAAGGAAACACAGAAAATGTTAAAACAGCCTTTGAATTCGGGATCTCTTCCATTAATTTGTGTACTTAGTTGATTTTGTCATGCATACTGTACCAAGAAAAGTGGATCTAGTATGCTTTTTTCTTTTAGTTGTAGGGAAATGATACTGCACTTGGAATGGGAAGATCTGGGTTTAGTTCTTAGTCTGACTTGGTGGCTGCATTTCACTGGGGAGCATCTCAGAGTCACCTGTTCTGCCACCGTACAAAAGAGACAGTGCCATTTGCTGGCCTTTTCTGATTTCAATGAAATGAGATTATCAGTTATGATTTTAGGGGGAAAAAAAGAGAAATATATATGTATAAAATAACACACATGAAATAAATCCAAAACATGTGAAGTACATCTGTATAAAATAACATGTAGAAAATATAAACATATACTTCCACTTGGGCATATGTTTTTTTTTTTTAATTTTTATTTTTGACAGGCAGAGTGGACAGTGAGAGAGAGAGACAGAGAGAAAGGTCTTCCTTTGCCATTGGTTCACCCTCCAGTGGCCGCCGCGACCGGTGCACTGCGGCCGGCGCACCGCGCTGATCCGAAGGCAGGAGCCAGGTGCTTCTCCTGGTCTCCCATGGGGTGCAGGGCCCAAGCACCTGGGCCGTCCTCCACTGCACTCCCTGGCCACAGCAGAGAGCTGGCCTGGAAGAGGGGCAACCGGGACAGAATCCGGCGCCCCAACTGGGACTAGAACCCGGTGTGCCGGCGCCGCTTGCGGAGAATTAGCCTAATGAGCCACGGCGCTGGCAGGGCATATGTTTTGAGAACAGCAGCAGTTGCCATTTAGATAACTTTCACACTTGCATGGTATTTATTGTTAGAACTGGGATCTAACAGGAACAGGGCACGGCAGGCAATGAGGGCTGCAGGGTGAGGTGGAGAGGAGGAAGGCCTTCCGCTGGAAGAGGAGGAGAGGGCTGTGTCTGGGAAGGTAATACACACACCATCTGTGACTTTGGGAAGCATCCAACCGTAATGAAAATGGGAATAAGAGGCAATATATTGAGTTGCCAGCATGGCTGGCCAGCACACAGCACCTCAACAGAATGTGTCCTGGCTAAGCTCACTCTGCTATGAGTGGAAGACAACAGAGTTTAATAGCTACTGGCAGACTTCTCACACCATTCAGCACACAATGCAGTCCAGCCACGTCCTGCACAGCGGTGCTAGACCATTACCCAGAATGCCACTGCACTGAGTGACCGGGTATTATGTCAATGTGCAGGGCTAAAATCATGGTATTTATTATTATTAGTGAAAGCCACATGAAAAGTGATTCTTGGAATGTTTTCTGCTCACCCATATAATAAGGAATAGACTGTGGCAAGAAAATGCTAATGAGATGACTAAGTGATATGATGAAAAAGTTCTGCAGACTTGGGTTTACAAAATGAATTTGGAGTAGGGAAAATACAGCCAAGGGAGTCAGAATTCTGTGCTGATATAGGTTGAGTGTTCCTTATCCAAGGTGCTTAGGACCAGAGTGCTTCAGATTTTTTTTTTTTTGATTTTAGAATATTTGCATATATATAAGGAGATATCTTAGGAATGGGACCCAAGACTAAATGCAAAATTCATTTGCTTATTTATAGCTGACAATATTTTTAAATAATTTTACATGTATATTTCTTATTTATTTTAAGATTTATTTATTTATTTGTGGCCAGCGCTGCAGCTCACTAGGCTAATCCTCCGCCTTGCGGCGCCGGCACACCAGGTTCTAGTCCCGGTCTGGGCGCCGGATTCTGTTCTAGTTGCCCCTCTTCCAGGCCAGCTCTCTGCTGTGGCCAGGGAGTGCAGTGGAGGATGGCCCAAGTGCTTGGGCCCTGCACCCCATGGGAGACCAGGATAAGTACCTGGCTCCTGCCATCGGATCAGCGCGGTGCGCTGGCCGTGGCGGCCATTGGAGGGTGAACCAACGGCAAAGGAAGACCTTTCTCTCTGTCTCTCTCTCTCACTGTCCACTCTGCCTGTCAAAAAAAAAAAAAAGACTTATTTATTTATTTGAAAGAGTTACACAGAGAAGGAGAGGCAGAGAGAAAGAAAGAGAGGTCTTCTATCCTCTTGTTCACTCCCCAATTGGCTGCAATGGCCAGAGCAGTGCCTATCCGAAGTCAGGAGCCAGGAGCTTCTTCTGGGTCAACTGAGTAGGTGCAGGGGCCCAGGGACTCGGGCCATCTTCTACTGCTTTTCCAGGCCATAGCAGAGAGCTGGATCGGAAGTGGAGCAGCCAGGACTCACTGGTACCCAATGGGATCCCGGCACTGCAGGAGGTAGCTTTAACTGCTACGCCACAGCACTTGCCCCTAAATCATATTTTTAAAATAATATTTTAAATAGTTTTTGCATGAAACTGAGTCTCATGTGTGGAATTTTCCACTGGTGGCATCATGTTAACACTAAGAAGGTTTCAGACTTTGAAGAAATCTTGGTGTTCAACCTGTTTTGCAACTTCTGGAGAAGATGAACTTGTCAGTGGAAATAATAAGACAGGAACTTCAAAGGAGGAATAAGTTGTGAAGAAAATAAAGATAGGATTTGGTCAGAGACAGGAAGTGAATCATAGGCCTATATATAGCAAGGAAAGGTATGTACGTAGGAGATATTTCAAAAAGCTCATGAAAATGGGTTTGAGGTGGTCATTTGACTCAGCAATTAATACGTCAGTTGGGACACCCATGTTCCGTGTTAAGGCGCTGGGGTTCAAGTTCCAGTCCGGCACTCAAGCTCCAGGCAGAGGTGATGGCTCAGGCAGTTGGGCCCCCACCACCCATGTGCAGACCCAAACTGAGTTCCTGGCTGCTGGAACAGCTCCAGTTGTTTTGGAGACTGAAACAGCAGAGGGGGGTTCTCTTTCTCTTTAGCTCTATTTCTCCACCTTTCCAATAACTTAGATAAATAAATATTAAAAATAAGTTTATTTTGGTGCAATTTTTTTTAAAAAAATACAAGTATAGTTAGTTCTGAAATAATGTGCATTTTCCATGAATTTCTTTTTTTTTTTTTAACTTGTCCCCCCAAGAGACAGAGAAAGAAGTAACAGATAGAAACAGCTTCCACCCATTGGAATGGAATGCAGCACTGGGGCTGGGGCTGGCCAAAGCCAGGAGCCAAGAATTCAGTTCCAATCTCCATGTGGACGGCAGGAACCGAGTCACTTGGTAATACTGGAGACAGGCATCCCAACCAGCATCCTAACACAGGTCAAATCCCGACACCCCACCCCCTAAACCTTTTAAGTTCCTCTGTGTGTGTGGATTTCAGGAGATTTTGCACATTGGGGCAGGCATCTGTGTAGTGGTTAAAACTGCTGCCTGGGGCACCTGCATTCTATGAAAGAGTTCTAGAGCTTCCGAGTCCTGACTCTGCTCTCCATTCCAGTGTCCTTCTAATGTGCACCCTGAGAAGCAGCAGAGCGTGGCTCAAGTAGTTGGGTCCTTGCCACTGAAGTGGGATGCCAGATTGAGTGCTTTGGCCCAGCCCAACAGACCCCAGCTGTTGGGGCATTTGAGGAGCAAAACAGGAGATGGGAAATCTCTCTCCACCTTTTTTTTTCTGTCTGTCTGTCTTTCTTTGTCTCTCTGGCTTTCAAATATATAAAAATGTAAAAAAAATTTTTTTTTGCACAAATAAATTTAATTCTACTTTCCACAAATTCTTGAAGTACCCTCATATATACCAATTTACGTTTTATGTAATTGCAATCTGTATTAATTTATATCTTATGAAGGTATTTCAAGAAGTTCATGGACAATGAATATTTATAGCCTGGTGATTAAGATATACAAATCCCACATCAGGGGAATACCTGGGTTTGATTCCTGACTCAAGATCCTGACTCAAGCTCCCTGCTAATGCAGACCCTTGCTCATGTACACCATTGTGGGAGACCCAGATGGAATTCTTGGCTCCTGGCTTTGGCCTGGCCCAGCCTGTGCTGTTACGGGCATTTGGTGAGTGAACCATCAGGTGTAAGATCTTTCTCTGTCTCTCTGCCTTTCAAATAAAATGAAAATAAATAAATAAAAATTTAAAAGCTCATGGAAAATGGAATTAAAGGTATGAATTTATTTTGGTGCAGAACAGTTTCTAAATCCTTATTCAGTTTTTTATGATATGCATTTGCCATGTCTTACGAATATAATAATATTTGCACAAAAACTTTCTGCAACAAAATAAATTCATAATTTTAACTCCATTTCTCCACAACCTTTTTGAAGTCCCCTCATATACATGATATATTTTTATATAAACACTTAAGAATAATAAATGGTAGCAAAGCTTCTATATGAAAATACCCACTGTTAGTGAGTGTGTAAGTAAAATATTATTGTTACTATCTTCCTTACTGAGCACTTCCTTTGTATTTACAGATCTGTACTTGTATTTATCCAACCGCCATATGGAGTTAGGCATTATTATCCTCTTTTTAAATACAAAGAAGACTAAGGCTTCAAAAGGCAAACTAATCTTCCCAAAGTCCTACTTCACTCTGCTTAAATCCAAACTTAGGCCCTCAGCTACATTCTTATCTATGTACCCACAGAACCACCCCTTTCAATATTCCTTCTTTGTCTACATAGTTGT